ATGAATAATAAATATTTGACAGAAGACTGAAATTTTGACTTAAGCCTAAGTTTGTTTCAAGATACTGGGGGTTTCCAAAATCACACAGATAGTGTCAATCAGAAATTCAAGCATATCCTTGATGTCAACTTCAGAGTAGCATTGTGCACAATCAGAATGTTTTATAATAAAATAATTTTGTAAATGATTAATGATCAGGTAAGTAAATTTACGAGTTTCATTTTTATCGAAAAAGTAGCTATCAATGATATCCAAAAGCCTGGACTTTAATTTAACGTGGGGAATGGTTGTGTATAAAATGAAAAGTAGTTAGTTTTTGAGCTGCAGATGTTTTGGTAAACTTTTGTGATTTCAAATTGTCCAAAAGTTCTTTTGATTTTTTTGAGTATTCACATCTGTTCCACCTCACTTCTTGAAAATATTGTTGCACAGTGCTCTTAAAGTTTTTCCTTCACTACTGTCAATATTTTAGTGAGGGGTAACGAAAGAGGCTTGGTTTAACATTTACTCGAACCCGCAATGATCTTTGCTAGTAAGGTGAAGTTTCAGAATCTGATTTATCAAAATATTTTTGGAGGCTATAGTTCTGCAGCTACAAACATGTAAATGGATAATTCGTTTTTATTTTAATTTGCTATATTACGTTATCGTAATGCAATTTTATTAATGTAAAAATGACGAAATATATATATAGAGAAAATCTTCAACATTGAAATACCTTTTTGTCGATTAATTATTTGCCTGATTTATACGTATTTTCTTCGAAAGAACGTCCTAGAAACATCTTTCCTTCCTTCTCTAGCGAAAGTGTTAGAATAAAATGGTAGTAAATTCAGTTCAGCTTTAAATTTTTCGTTTATCAATCTGTTATTCCGACATTAATCTTTGCTGAAATAATTTTAAACTAATTTTAATAACTGATTACTATTTACCTGATCATAAGAGAGGATCCACAATAAATGTCTCCGGTTGACAAGGATGCCTCTCCTTATAGGCATCTGGTCCTTCATCCCTCCCCCCCAGTTATCCACAGAGACTGCCTTTTTACCGAATTGTATTGTGAACAGTCTTAATAAGTGCATCACTTTTCCTTTATCGCCATCTTTTTTCATCACTAAAAATAGGTAAAAAAATTACCTTTGTCAATAAATGAAACTAACTTTTTGCGCAAAATTTATGAGATGAGGTGATAAAAACAGATTACTGTTTTGTCGCATCTCTCTTTTCATACTACACTTCCATCATGGCCGAATGGGCGAGAGGCGATATAAAATGGCATTGAAACACTAATTAATGTGGTTAACGAAATGCTGTGTTTTGTTTTTACTGAAAGTGAAATTTTCCACTAGATCTTATTACAGTCTTCTTCTACCCTCTTCTTTTTTATTTACTTCTTTACAAGTTTTTTAAAAAATGACATTAATTTTGCACTTGTATGAATTTAAATTACGCTATAGCATTAAAGGTTCTAGGAGGAACTTTGCCAAAATTTAAAATGATTAGAAACTATTCTAAATGCATGTCAAGACAATGTTAGTTTTTTCCCTTTATGAATCCTGTTTATAGCAAACATTGTCGGTGTCTCTCAGCTATTTCCAGATTGTAACTGTTGATGTCGTCCTTACATGTACAACTAGTTTAAACATGTATTTTTATGGTTGAGAAAATTTGTCTCAAAAATAACTGTAAAAAGTTCAGTGTTTACATAACATAACCTATTTAATGTGCAATCGGAGAGCAGAACCCTGTAAACCGTTTCACAGAGCAATACAAATACAAGTATGTTTTGATGTTTTTTTTTTACATGTAACTCAAAGTTTAAGAGTGCTTATTTCTCTGGAGGAAAGTATGGATTTATTACTTGCAAAGGTGTGTATAGTGATTACTTCTTGATTTTACAGAGCATTTTTGGTGGAAATAGACCTTGGTTGACAATGCATTTAAAGGAAGAATGCAGTTAAATTTCAGTTATATGAATGTTCATCTTTCTTATTAATGGACAAAGCTTACTATCAAGTACATTCCAAAAGGGGTACAGAACCTAATTGTACTTTCATACTTTATATACTATATATAATTTTAATACAATTTTCTGATTGATAATTCCTTGTTGAAATATGAAAACTTATAAAAGTTATCCATACACAATTTACTGTGGAAAGAAAGTCTTTGAGGAGACTGTAGCTCTACTGGTTTATACTTATAAGAAAGGAAGATTAAAGTGGCACTTGGACTCGAACCTTTGCAACAGCAATAAATAGAATAGTGGTCCTGTCTGAGTGTAGTTTCTTTTTTTTTGCAAAATTTATTGCAATCAAATTTAAACTGTTGGAGGAGTAGCCTTTTAAAAGAATTTAACAATTTTTAGTTACCATGGCAACATATTTCAACATAATCAGAAAACAATAAAAACAATAATGTGTAGGTTACTTTACTTACAATATTACCAAGTAATATTAAAATTAGACCAAAACCTAAGAAGGAGAAGCGTTTTAGAAGTAATTAGATACATGTTCCTATTTTAATAACAGTGGAAACACCATTTGTCGAATTTAAAACAGATATACGGAATATTGTATCTTAGTATAGTCCTCTTGTGTGCCAAGTTATACTGAAATAAGACTAAAGTGTAGGAGGAGTCGGGTTTTAAAAGGTTTTAAGGAAATTTCTATTTTTAGTAATCATGGCAACATCGTTCAACAAATTCAAAAGTTGATATAAAGAATTATGTATTTAAGAGCAATATACTTGTGTGCCAAGTTGTAATGATATCAAATGAAAACATTAAGTGTCTTGAAAAATTTTCATAATATTTTGATTTTAAGTAACAATGGCAACACTGTTTATTACTGAAATCCGAACTCAGATATATAGAATGATGCATCTATGTGTAATTAACTTTATGCCAAATTATATTGAAATCAGAAGTAGCGCTTTGAAAAATAGTTTCTAGACAGATATACGACGGAAACCTTAATATTGCACAAGCTCTTCTGCTCTCTGATCAGTAGATCTAAAAAAAAAATGGCCTACTATTTGTTTGAAATAAACTAATGAGCATTCATAGTGATTGCAAAGGAGGCATTGCTACGATTAAACAACTTGCAAAATTGTAATGCTGTTATTTTTTTTTATCGAAATTTTAACTTTTCGAATCCAGTATTTGTAGTGGAAATCAATGAGATCCAGATACGACCAACACTATCGAACTATCGAAAATTGAATTAACGGTGAGTGGTCCGATAAAACAATGGTCTGATAAAACGCAAAATGTATTAATAATACAAAATATAATAAACTTTGATTATTACATTGTTTATTAACATTTTGCGTTGATTTTGACGTAAAATATAATAACACAAAATGTTATAATACTAAAAAATGTGCTGTTGCATTTTGCGTTGTAACAGTCTGCGTTGATTTGTATGCAAAATGTAATACCGTGAAATGCAGTAATCCCGGTTTAAATATTTCATTTTGCGTTGTTATTACATTTCGCGTTGTAACAATGGCCCGATGATGACGAATCAGTGTAGCGACTTTGAGATGACTATACATGTAGGCGAAAGATAAAAGGAACGAAAGTATCTCTTTATCATAATTGTATCAGGGATCGGGTAATAAAAATAAGTAATTTTAATTTACTGTAATCAAATGCATTTTTTCAAAGTAATTAAAAGTAGTTGTAATTAAGTTTGTTTCTAATTACAAGTAATTGAAAATACATTCCAATAATGTGATATATTTCTCAGTTACATTTGAATTACCGTCCCCTCTTGTGTTTTATTGGTATATACGTTTTCGTGGTATTTTTAATTTTTATTATTAATTGCACAATGCGAGATCGAAGATGGATATGAAGATAACAAATAGAATTCAATTTCAAAGTCCATAAAACAATACAAAATAGTAGCAGAGCAAACACAGACCTCCGAGACATTAGAGGTGGGATCAGGTGCCATGCAGGAATGAGCATCCTCTGCCCCTGCTACTATGCTTATCCTGATGCTGGTTTATGTAACAAAATTATTTCCTTGCACTGTACCCCCGCCTCCCAAATGAATATAATGACAGTTTCCATGTTTTCCTCTGGAAAATCAAAAATTTATGACAGATCAAAAAGTAAAATAGGAGGTGCACAAAGGCAATATGTAATAAAGATTCTGGAACGTTTCATTACATTTTCTTCAGTGGTATGAGAGTAGATGCGATTAAGAGATGGGTATCCCACAGCGTAACAGACGGACGTACATAAAGCTAGACGGAAGGACATACCGATTACTATATAAATTTTTTTTTATTATTCCACTACTCCTTTCCGTTCTTATATGAGGAAAACACAGCGTTTCTGTTCCCCTCACCGAGTTACATAAACAACCTCGTTGTATCAAAAAAAAATTTGATGACAAACGTGACCGAGTCTTTTCTTATTCTTTATCCAAAAAACCCGTCAAGGACATTGTTTTCAAACTTTTAAAAATTGATAACAAAACGCAATGGCAGGGTGCCATAATTGTCGATTTTTCATTTGTAAAGCTAACGAATTTCATGTAGGAATTTATTGGCCAGGTATTTACATTGTAACTTTCCTTACATAAAAAATCACTCTAAGTTACTTTGAAAAGATAGCACAAATTATGTAACCTGAGTTCGTTAGAGATTTATTTTTAGATCTTTGAACATTTAACGCTTTTGCTTTTGACTCTATACCCCAAGTCCTATACCATCCTGTTTGGAGTCCTCCATCAAAAGTTCAACGTTTTATTGTTTTCTTATGGTCTGCATAAAATTCTAAATAATTAAATTGAACAGAATATTTCATACACAATTCTATAGGTAAATGGTGGTCTCACAAGTTATTATAAAATGTCAGTCGGCATTCAATTTAATGATAAATTGATCTTTTGTATTTGCTGAAACGAATCTACTGAACAATATTACTAGCTGCTACATATATTGCGGAAGTTGGCAACATAAATATAAACAATATCCCATTTATCATGAGGGTAATTTATTAGTTTGCCCCGAAAGTTCTTTTTCTATAGTAAAAACTACAAATATGATGTGCTACTTTAAGTAGAAGGATTTGGAAATGAACATATTCAACCGTCTATAAAACAATACAAAATAGGAGCAGAGCAAACACAAACCTCCAAAACATCAGAGGTGGGATCAGGTGCCATGAAGGAGTGAGTATCCCCTGCTGATCTGTCACACCCACCGTGTGCTCTTTGTCATGATCAAGAAATAACGGAAAAATCCGTCGTCAGTTTAGTGTATAGATAATGGACTAGCAATTAGTCATAAAAACTTCAGTCAGCATTTGACTCAATGGCGTCATGTTTTTTATTAATAAAGAGGAACCCTATGCATGTTTTTTGACAAAATATGAACATTTTCGCCTTTGCCAAAAAAATATAGCAATTTATGTAATACATGCTCATTCGTCATGTTTTGAACTAGAATATCAAACTTACTTACTGATAGCCTGCATATCATCGTCTGTTAAATATCCATTCAGTTACCAGACATGTGACAATAATTTGGAATTTTCCACGTTTTGGATTTTGTGCACGGTGATCTAGGAACATCATTTGTAAAAAATAATTTTCAAAGAAAACATCGAGGGTTTTTAAAAGTAATGTGATGAAAAATATTGTGTCATTTATAAATAGTTGAATTAAATATTTAATTTCTTTCAAAGCATAATGTATTTATAATGAAAATTCAAATAAAGCTTAAAAAATTATTTGTAGACAACTCTTTAAAGAGTAAAACAAATCTATATTTTTGAGCTTAGACGTGTTTAGATAAATTTGGACTAAATAAACAACAAATGGATTTTCGTGTCAGTGAATGAAGAAATTTAATAAAAAAAAAAAAACAAAAAAAAAAAAACTAGTATTTGTGACAAAATAACATTTATAAGAATTTTTCCCAAATAGATTAACACATAAACATACATGTATGACCTCAGCAAAAAGAAAAAAAAGAAGAAAAAAAAACAACAACAACAAATTGTAATTAACTCGTTATTTCGAGTTGAATTTTTTTTTTCATCCTCTCAGAAATAAGCCTATCCGGCTTTCGTACAAACGATATGAAAGGTAAAATAATTTTCAGAATAATGCTATTTAAAGTTTTTTTTCTATGTTTAGAGTCCGCATGCACCGATCTGTAAAAAAAACAAACAAAACCAGGAGTTCTGAAATTGAATATACTGGTCGAACTCAATAAATTCTCTCAATTTTCGAAACGTCCCGTGGGGATCCGGGTTAGAAAAGGTCCTCAGTACCCCCTTGCTTGTAAAAGGCGACTAAATGGAGCGGTCCTTCGTATGAGAGTGTATAAATCGAGGCCTCGTGTCACAGCAGGTGTGGCACGATAAAGATCCATCCCTGCTCAAAGGCCGTTAGTGCCAAGGATAGGCCTAAATTTACAGCCCTTCACCGGTGGTGGTGACGTCTTCATATCAGTGAAATATTCTGGAGAGGGACGTTAAACAGTATACAATCAATAAATCAATCAATCAATCAATCAATCAATCAATCAATCAATCAATCAATCAATCAATTTTCCTTACTATTTGTCTACAATATGTCAAATTAAGAATACTGTCAGCATTTTGTACGTTGATTTTGCTGGAGAATAGGTATTTCTTTGAACAATTTCTTAAACGAGGTAAGTTATTGACAAACAAGTTGATGAAGCAAAATTATCAGCAGTCTTGTTTAAAGTCTGCATTTCGTAAGTTCTATGCTCGATGCAATGACCTTGTCAGCAAATACAACTTATCCTTAAGTCAAATGCTGACTTTTTTCCATACTGATTGTTAGGTCATTATTTGCACACTGAGTTGTCCATGAATTTTCCCGAAAATGACAAGAAGTGACCGGTCGACAGATAATGCTCAATCCTCCATGGCACCTGATCCCACCTCTAATGTTTTGGAGGTATGTCTTTGCTTCGCTCCTATTTTGTAATGTTTAATTGACTTTTGAGCTCGAATACTGTTTTTTTTAATCTCCATAGTTTAATATAAGCACCTGGTCCCATCTCTGAAAATTATAAAGATCGTGTTTATACCACTTTCACAGATATGAATGGGTTAAAATACATTTGAGATCGATCGCTGTTCATTATCTTCACCCTTTTTGTTAATGAAATGTATATTTAAAATTTGAATTATTGTTGCATACGTTCTGCTGAATAAAAAAAATCAAATGTTGAAGATACCTTTTTAATTATTTAAGCTATTTTTGATAAAAAAAAAATGAAATGGAAATTGTTCTGGAAATGTAAAAATTAACTGTGAGCACACACAATACTATCGATACAATATCCTTTTTTGGCTAGTTATAGAAGTAACTTTAACATATGCTGATATTACCTATTGCCTTGCCAATGCATACATGTACTTCAAAATATCTACAAGCATGCATAAACATACATAGACTTACAACAAAATAAATTCAAGGTAGAGTTTAGAATTTATGATTGTCATGGTTTGGCGCAATTTCCCATGCATGTTTCAATTAAGTTTTTTTCCCCAAATTAACTTCAAAAACAATGAGAAACAAGCTTCATTGTAAGTATTTTTTCTTAATTCTATATACCAAAATTAGTGTATATTCCAGTATATACCAATTGAATTTATTCTTTATTTCAGCAGATTGTGTTCCTAATTTTGGTGACCCTCTACCTTACAAGTGCTGGAATAAGCACCGAGTTTAAAGTACGACAGTGTTCTCAATGTCAGGGGTACACAGAATACTACTGTAACACGTGTAAACAAGACTTTTGTCTACAGTGTAAAGAGGGACATGTTACTGATCTAGATTTTATTGACCATTATGTTGTTATTTATCGTGAAAAATATGAACATATTCCGAAACAAGAGACATGTGTGAGACATCCAGACGAAAAATATGAAATGTTCTGTAAGTCATGTGAAATTCCTGTCTGTTCTCAATGTACAGAACACAGAAATCACCAAATACTGGATATCCAAATATCATATAAGGCAAACCGCCAACAACACAGAAAAACCATTCAAAACATTAGGAGTGAAATTCTCTATAAAAGCTGTTTTCTTCTTAAAGAAATTATAACTGATCTAGAATCTTGTCACAAAGCAGTAGTCAAGCTTCAGTTTAGAATGTTAGAAAGAGCCCAAAAATTAAAGAACCTTATAGATTCTATCGTATTTGATGTTGAAAGTGGACACAAAAGTTTCATCTATAGGTTTTTGAAAGAGAAGAGAAAAAAAGTTATTTTCATTGAGCACTGTGAATACAGATCTGAAGAATTACCAAACAAACCGGTAAAATTCCTGCCATTTCTCAAGATCAACTATCTTCCGAAACTACAAGACACTCTCCAATGCGTTTTACCCTCGCTGACTGAAGAAATTAACAGGCATGATTTGAAAAAAATATTGAGAGAAATCCACGTCACAGAGAAAATAAAACGACAAGTTGAAAATGAAATTATATTCAAACAAATGTCCACACCTGTGTTACAAAAAACTATCAATGTGAATGGCGTTGGTTTTGTAAGGCACCTTTCTTGCGTGACATCAGACCACGTTTGGATCAGTGATTATGACAGTCTCAAGTTGATAAACAATGCAGGTGAAATATTGCAACAAGTGACAGATATAAAAAGTTACTATGGAGGATTTCACACAGTCGATATCACCAGTGATCTTATTTATATAGATGATCATTATAATATTATCACACTATCAAAGGATAACGGAATAAAGTCTACATTAAGGGGGTACACAGAAAAATGGATACCAGTAAGTGTTTACTGCTCACCATTCAGTAAAGATCTTTTTGTAGGGATGTGCCGTACTGATAGAGGTTCATCAATGGTAACACGGTATAACGACATAGGACTACCCGTACAGACAATACAATTCAATTCCATAGGCCAGGATCTGTATACTGAACCCACGTACATCACGGAGAACCGAAATGGAGATATAGTTGTTTCTGACCGGGGCCGTTATGCTGTCGTGGTGACGGATCGCAACGGAAGATATCGCTTCTCCTACACAGGTCCCCAGATGGGTTACTGCCTAGAACCATATGGAATCTGTACTGACGCGTTGTCACATATCCTTGTGTGCGATGGTAACTCCAATAATGTACAGATAATTGATAAATACGGTATTTTCTTGATGTACTTACTTACGCAACAACAAATGACATACAATCCACGAGGTATAAGTTATGATAACGAAACCCACTTTCTTTTGGTTGGATCATGGGGCAATACCAGTGTGAATGTATATAGAACCATAAACAGGCAAAGCTACGCTGATTTTGACAGAGATATAGGGTATACCCGATCTGGGCTTTCATTTAGTGTGATTTGGCACTCGAGTTTGCTCAACACTGATTCCGATGTACAAAAGAAAGAAAGTGTTAGTTCGCGAACGCTCAAAACAAGTACAGTTTCCGATATACCCAATGAAGAAAGTCTGAGTTGGCAAAGCCTCCTCGGAGGTACTGTTTCCAATAGAGGAGCTGGTACGAGTTTGCGAGGTGGTACTTTTATATCCGACGAAGATCTTGACATTGAGGCTAGCAATGATTCTGATATACCTGATGAAGATGGACTAAGTTGGCAAACACCCACCACACGTAATCATACCGTGATATCCGATGATGATCTTGGCAATGACGTCCTTATTAGACTAAACCTTGAAGTAGCACGTGAATTTGAACCGATTGCAAACTGCTGACAAACAAAAGAATACATTTGATAGCTTCTTTTCAAGGAAATTTTTGCAGATTCTGTGATAGGTAAAATGACCTTGTGGATTATTTCGATTTTCCGGTCATGAGAAAGAGCGTGCGCGGGATGTAACCGGTCAACAGGGGAAACTAGTGTTTCGACTGAACTCCAGATACAAATCAAATGGTAAAGTTCAAAATAAAACTGTATACAAATGAAACATTTAATCTGATATTTAATCATATATAATGTTTCACTAATAAAATAATAAAATGATAAGAAAACGCAATTATTATTTATGTCACTTAAAGGCAAGGTTTTTTTTATCTAATGTTTTATATGTGTATTCGTTCTATGTAGATACCGTTATATACTTACATCAACTGAATATTTCTTCCTTTATTTGTTAAGAAAACCCACTGCGTTAATCAGTGCATGATCTACACTAGGCATGTCAACTATACAGATTTCGTGATCAGTGGCTGTTCCATCAATAAAACGTACAAAGACGTTCGCATCATTAATACAATAATTATTTGTTTTAACCCTTTTTAAAATGATAAACATATATAAATAAAGACAATAAAACGCTTTCTTTGGTTGTTAATACGGGAATGAATGTCGCAGCTACTTCAGAAAAAAATTACATAACCCGCTTACGTGGGTTTGGTATTTTTTCTGCAACAGCTGCAACATTCAACTAAAGAAAGCATTTTATTGTTTAAATAATTGCTAAATCTTTATGCAAACAATTATTATTACCAATTTAAGCTATAAATGTGCTATCCATAAATGTAAACATAGTAATTATCCATTTTTACAAACGATCTTTGTGAAATATTGGACACGCAATGTACAGCAATGTTGCGTATACAATTTTATTTAAAAAATGCCTTTTTTGTATTTCCATATTTTATAATTGGATACTTATGCCATTGTATGTCATAACTTATTACATGTTTTACATTGTTATCTTTATTAATATTACTTGTTTTCTTTTTTCTCTATAATTGTTTAAAAGTCTGTAGTCTTCAACGGGAGACTTTATTGTTTTCATTCGAGTTCTTTTTTCCTATTCATTTCTAATTTTGTTTATTGTTGAATTACTATAATTATATCTGATAATGTATTACTTTTACAGTATTGCTTATGCTTATTAATGTATTCATACTTATGTAAAATAGTTTGAATATGATGGTTTTACAGCTACAATTATCTATGCATAATACATAATCATCCGCAATTTTATCACCAAATACTAAAGTATCATTTTTCAAAACACAACTTTTCAGTATTGAAAATGTTCATTGAAAGGCTGGCCTACCAATGGGTAGTCCTAAACTAACACCGAATTAAGTAAGATGCCCAGTCGCCCTCGGACTACCGCATATGCCTTATTCAGGACGGACAGCATATGTGATAGCCCTTCAGGACGGACAGTCATAATAATAGTCATAATTTGAAAAAAAAAACCTGAATCTTCGCTACTTTATGTACTTGCATATAAATATACAATTTTTATGGAAATAGATTTTCCAGTTATATTTCTAAATGTATTGGTGATCCCCTTACAGTACATACCCTGGACCATGAACTTCACCAACCTATAATCATATTTTATGCCTGGAAGATTTCAGATATGATTTACCTTAACTGACTTAAAAGTTCTTTAGTTTCTTAAATACAGGTACATTTATAATTAATTATCTACCCTTACAATAGGGAAAAGCTCTTCGTTTGACAAAATTGTAATCCCGATTACTCAGTTTTCTGAGCTAAGTTTTGTTGACATTTGCGCAGTGGTTCTGAAGAAGTAAAAATGTTAAAGATTTAAGACGTCGATAATAACAACGACGAGGAGAGAAAATAATTGAAACCAGGACACAGTATTTCCCATTCGTGTTCTGTAAAGTAAACTTCCAATGTTTACAGAGATATAGCCGGCCTATATTTTCAAACACAGGTGTTTGGTGTTTGGGTATGATCAATGTCTTTGCTATTTAAACTAGGAACGTCCAAATTATTTAGAATCACTGGACTGGTAATGATATTCTGTTTCAAAAAAGAGAACTTGTAGACAAAGAAAAAGTGAATTGTGACTTCGCATGTTTAAATTAAAGGAATATAGAACGAAAAATAATAAGACGAAATATCTTTAAAGAAAGTTACAAAAAGACTCGAATTTCAATTCACGTATACAATTCCTATCGACGATAGACCAACTTGATTTATTGCTTTAAATCTCTTTCTGACGTTAATATTTAGAAAGTATTATGCTATTGAACGGATGTGTTTTTAGGACGTTTAGATTTGTTAAAGTTTAAGTGGTACGTATTGTCATTGAATTCTTGCTTGAATTTTACTCTTGTTAATTCTAAAGGATTTTATAACTGTATTCCAATTATCAGTGCAAATAATACTTTAAGAGCATTGCAAGAGAGAGAGAGAGAGAGAGAGAGAGAGAGAGAGAGAGAGAGAGAGAGAGAGAGAGAGAGAGAGAGACCTATAATACCATACCTTGTTTTACAAGGCCTGGATATAAAAGTGGAATTTAAAGTTAACTTTTGAAGTTTAATGTGGCTTTTTGGGTCTTTGTGAGTCGTTTTATAAAAATTGCTTTGTTATTCCCAACGTTTATACTTATTCTATCATATGCTGAAAAGTCTAATTGATAAATAGACTTGAGATTTAGCATTTCGGATTTCTGTGACATTTCAGACGCCTCTTGTTGACTATTTAGTATCTTTCTAGTGTTTATACAAGTATCTTTAAGGATGATGTTTACTCAGGTTTCAGAAAACAGAAAGGAAATTTTATAAAGTATAATATGTTAAATCAAAATTGTTCTAAATGGATAAAATAAGCAAGTTTTAAATCAAAAGCAATTTATAAATTTAATATTTTATTATTTAAAGAAAGTATACAGGAACAAAAGTCAATGTATGGTAATGCAGAGGAAATTCGGACTAAAATTTGAACTTTTTATTTTTGTCAAAAAATTTTATTTCTTGCCATATAAATCACAAAGTAATGGTTACATGTATTTTTAAACATCACTTTGCAAATAATATATGTGTTAAAAGCTCACAATTTTTTTCAAATAATTGAATACTGTGAAATAAAGGAATTCAAAAATATGTACAAAAACCAATCCAGACAAGAACTCAATAATTTGATCATTGACCCCATATAATATTAATTCCATGAGAAATAGGGCAAAAGTAATCTGAGACTATAAATAATTTTGAGTTCATATCAGTCGGATTTTTTAAATATTCGATTAAAAGTTGAGAAGAAATATAAATATGACAGAGGAAATTCGGACTGTGAATATTATCACATTTATGGCCTAACCTCTATCATTTGTTTATAAGAAGCAACGCTGTTCCACCATATTTCATTATTTAAAGAGTTTAGTTGCTTGTAATATTTTGTGTGTGAAGAAAAAATTGGTCACTGTGTGAAAAATTGAGGTATTTCCCGAGAAATACTCAGGGACCACTAGCATGAAAAGTAGGTCATTGACCTAGTTATTTGAAATTGAAATTTAACACAAAAATCAAAGGTGTGCAATGTGCAATAGGAAGTTTTTCATTCTTATCAGTGGAATTATCGGTCATCTGAGTAAAGGTATAACTAAAGGGGTCAAACATGAAAATTCATCAATGTATTTGTACAATTTTAACACAAATCTGACTTTGAACAACTTATGAAGCCGTGCAGTTCTGTATAATTGCCGGTTATTTGATTAAGAATGGTTCTTGAAATTCTTAATTTCCCGAATACAAGTATTGATATCTATAAACATACTTGCGAAAAAAAACCTGCATACATTTAGATTTAAGGGGGCCGATTATGGTTTCCATTGCGCAGTATTTCGCGCATCATAGTAAAATGAAACGTATTTACTGTTTTAAAGCAACTTTTTTCGCATAATTATTTCGCAAAATTAAGAAATTATAGGTATAAAATTGAAATGGAAATTTATAAAACTGATTTTTTGACCGATTTTGCAATTGATAGGTTACTTGACGTCGTTACAGTGTGTTTTGACGTAATGATAAACTGAAGCTCTAAAAGAAAGGGGTGATTAAAATGTTATTAAAGAAAAAGTAATAAGCATACGCTCTTGAAATTTAAAACATAGAAATTTGAAAATATCTCCATTATTTTTACTATGTTTTCATATAAATTTTTTGTGCCTTTCGTATTTTGTAGTACTCTATAAAACAGGAAAGTTCGTTGTTTTTGGCATTTTGAGATGCCCCCTCTGGTAACAAGACAGTAGAATTTTGTGTTTCTTACATATATTGCATAATATAGTATAACTAATCAAATATTATAGTTTGAATAAAAAGGCTATTGTAGTATTTGTATAATTTGCTATTAAGTGCTAAAATTAACATTTTCCTATATAATCCAATAGTAAATATACCTGTATTTTGAGACATTTCCTCAAAATACCTGGACAATAAATTTCCCCCAAACTTGGCACGGACACTGAAGTTAATGTATGTTATATATGGTATAAAAATGAAGATTTTCGCTATTGTAGTTTTCACACAATATAACCATAGACGGCCCCTTAAAAGAACATGAAGATAATTTAAAACATGAAGCCGCTTTTGGCGACTCACACATTTGGCGGTTTTTCTCTAAGGTTTAACACTGATTATATTTGTTATACGTTTGCTCATATATGTAGAGTTCTTGACTATAGTTTTAAAAAAAAATACATTTCTTTCACTTACCGATATTTATTTATAGATGAAGCTCGATAAATCGTCGAAATAAGTCAGAATGATATCCGTAATAAAAGTAATTTATTTTTTTGAAAATGTTCAATACGCATTGTCAATGTCAATGCTTACAATATTTCACAAACGATTTGTACATGTTTCAAAACGTCGATTTCAGTGCATTCTAAAGACAATGGTGAAATCACATAGCTAATACCGCTAACGTTTATACCTATTATTTGTTTTAAATAAGATGAAACGGCACCTAATTGATGATGCGGTATCTATATTCGAAATGTTATTCCAAATGGTATTTGAAGTAGCCTTGATCAACTACTGCCCAAGGTCACTGTCAGTTGATGAGCGATGTAAAGGTCTCTCCATTTAATCTCAATAAAAAGGAATACATTTTTCCATTGTGTAATAAAGTTGATTCTATTATTAGTTTCTATTTGTATGCGTGGATGTTTAGTTTTGGTATATTTTTGTTGATTTACTTTTGATAGTGATGGCTTACCGTTGACGGATGTAGAATGAATGAGTTGTAGAGTGAGTATTAAGTGACTGGTTAGTCACTTTAAGAGACAAAACACTATTTATTTAATGAAAGTGTATCAGATATCTATAAAGTTAATTACTGTTTTCATACTTCTAATTTGGGTGTGGTGTGAAAGGAGGGAGAGAAAATATTTTTTGGTTTATATTCAAAAATATTTTTTTTGTGTAAATTTTATAATTTGTTCTTTTTATCTCAGCCGTACAAACTAGATCTCAAAAAACTTATTGAATAGGTGATATGCTATTGTGTCCCGCACCATCCTGTCATGTTTTGTTTTCATTTCATCTTTCTGAGTGATAATTTCATTAAATTATTATATGATTATTTTTTATATAGGACAACATAGGTAATAAGAAATTACAGAGCTCACCTCAACGAATGTTGACTTTAGTAAGACAAAATCACACAATTACAGTACCCGCTTCGTTATTCTTGATAGGATACACGATACGATAGGATACACACACTATAGAACAGGATACACGCACGATAGGACACGATAGAATTGTAAAGAATAACGATGCGGGTACTGTACCCTCAAAAAGTGTACATCCAAAAATGCAAAATGCAATTTTGATTTGATACTTTGGAATAGACCTATATAAAAACTTCAAACTATTTCTTCATCATGAAAACGTAATTAACATCCAGCATCTGAAGCAAGTTTGAGAGTTTTTATCCCTTGATGCATTATTTGTGCACGTATAGTCTCTTGGTAATAGACCTTCACCCATAACTTTTACTAGGTCCATTTTCTGGAAAATGTATGTTGAATTCAGCATCTGAAGCAAGTTTATTAGTGTGCATCATAAGATGTATCATCCATGCAAGTTTGCTCAACGTAGAGCTCAAAATTACTTGTAAATGAAACCTGTATAAAAACTAATATTTTCACTTATCCGTAAAATGTAGGTCAGATTCAGCATCTACTAGCCAGCCTTGAAGAATACATCTTATATGTACCATCCATGCAAGTTTGGTGATTATAGGGCTCAAAGTTACTTTCTAAATGAGTCCTGCACCAAAAACGTTAACCTGTTCACTCGTCCAGAAAAATGTAGGTCAGGTTCAGCATCCGAAGCAAGTCTGGTAGTATGCATCCTTAGATGTATCATCCAGACAAGTTTAGTCATTATACGCTTCAGGTACCTTGGAAATGAAACCTGCACAAAAATCTGTTAATTAATCTGTTTACTCAACCGGAAAATGTAGTCAGATTCAGCATCCGAAGCATGACTGGTAGTAGGCATCCTTAGATGTATTATCCGTGCAAGTGTGGTCACTATAGTGCTCATAGTTACTTGTAAATGAGATCTGCACCAAAAACATAAATCTGTTTACTCATGCGGAAAATGTAGGTCAGATTCAGCATCTGAAGCAAGCCTGGTAGTGTGCATCCTAAGATGTACCATACATACAAGATTGGTCAACATATGGCTTATAGTTACTCGGAAATGAGTCCTACACCAAAAACTGCACCTAAAATGTTAACCTGCTCCCAAAACATTAATCTGGTCATTCCTTTGATGAAATTGCAGCATCTGAAACTTTGACTGGTACAGTGAAACACACTAGAAACACCTTTCATGCATGTCTAATCAATATAGGTCATAGAAGTACTTATAAAGAAAACTGCTCCAAAAAAACTTAACCTTAACACTAATACCCACGCCGACAACATTGAGGGTATTATATAAGCTCCCCCAACTTTGTTGAGATGAGCTAAAAAGTACCAACGTCAAATTCAATATCATTTTTATAGTTAAGAGTTTCCAAATTGATTTCAGTAGAATCTAAATGTTTTGTTGCTTTCTTAGGAATATAACAATACAGAATGACAACCACTTGACCTTTATGTCGGTGACAAGTCTTTATCCTATATTTTTATTACTGATTAAGCAGGAAAGACAATTTCTTAAAACACCCTTGAATACTCTCGGTGTATTTATATAATAAAACATGCTGGTTTTACTATTCCTGAATTCATTATTAAATTCAGAGAGAATGTTACATTCAAATATCTTAATATTTTACAAGATGTTGTAAACTCAAATACAAAGATTTTTTCAATACTAATTTTAGCATGTTGTGTTCTCAATGCCTATGAACCTTGAAATGGACACTTCAGTATTCAGCAACCAGTGTAAAGTACGAAAGTGTTTCCAGTGTCAGAATGACACAGAATTCTACTGTAACACTTGTAAACATGGACTTTGTCTAGCGTGTAAAGAGAAACACGTTATAGATCTCGATACCATATACCATGATGTTGTGATTTACCGTGAGAAATATCAATGTATCCCAAAACAAGAGATTTGTGAAAAACATCCTGACAGAATCATAAGACGATATTGCAATTCCTGTAAACTTCCTGTTTGTTTTAAATGTAGAGATCATTTGAAACACAAACTACAGGATGTAATATCAGCTTATAAAACATTCCGACAACAACACAGAGAAACCATCCACAGCATCAGAAGTGAGACTCTCTATAACAGCTTTTTTTTCCTGGAAAGAATCAAAACTGATATGAAATCTGTCCACACAGAAATTTTCAACAATCAACCAAACATGCCAAATAAAGCCATAAGATTAAAGAACCTTATTGACACAGTGATATGTGAAGCTAAATTCGGATATACAACTTACCTTCACAGATTCCAAAAACTGAAGATGGCAATTTATGAAGGTCATGTCATCATAGAGAAGTATGAACATCTATCAGAACAGTCGGCAAACAAAGCTATACGTTTCCTTTTGTTTTTTAAGAAAACCAATATAAAAAAGACTCCGCGTCTTACACAACATAGCCTGTTATCCGTGACCGACGAAATCAACATTAAATTACTGAGTGAAATACAAATCATTGAGACGGTAAAAATACAAGTGAGAAATGAATCTCCACTGCACCTGAAGTCTAAACCCGTGTTTAACACACATGTTACGGTGGCAGGTGTTAACAGTGTAAATCACATCTACCATCTTACATCAGATAGGTTTTGGATCAGTGATGATAGAAATCTTATTTTGACAAACACAGACGGCGATACTTTGCATCATCTTTCAGATATATTTAGCTATTATTCAGGTGTACACACAGTGAACGATACCTTTGATCTTATATACATAGGTAAGAATAAACACATTAACAAACTATCTAATGACAATCAAACAAACACTATACTTATAAAGACACCAAAGTCATGGGACCCACAGTGTGTTTACTTCTCCCCCTTAAATGAAGATCTACTGGTCGGGATGTGGAATACTGAAACTTTTATGGAAGGCAAGGTAACAAGATATGATAGCACAGGGCAAAGCATACAGACAATACAATACAACGCAGAAGAAAACCTATACACGTTTCCAAGATACATCACAGAGAACCGCAATGGAGATGGCATTGTTTGTGACTGGTACCGTGCTGTAGTGGTGACAGACCGTGGAGGAAGTTATCGCTTCTCCTACAAGAGACAAAGACCTCCTTCAGAATTACCGATGACACCATATGGAATCTGTACAGACGCGTTGTTACACATCTTGTTGTGTGATCGGTTTACTAGCACAATTCATATGCTTGACAAGGACGGCCGCTTTCTGTTAAAAATACTGGCATACGAACAAGGGATAAACAAACTGTGCTGCTTGAGTTATGATGACAAAACTCATCTTTTATGGATTGGATCAAATAGCAACAAATTATCTGTATGCAGATACATGGACAGGCCGGGTTATTTATAAAAGATTATTAAATATATATTTAGACATGGGAGACAAAAAAGTTATGAGTGAGCCTCACTCTCTCAATACTTGTATGCGTCAAAAGACAAGATAACATGTACTAAAAGAAGCAGACACGAATATATTCAGCATTAAATTAATGATAATAAAGAACCACGATGTTCATATATTATGATTTGCGTAAAGACGTCTACTTTTCACTTATTTTTTTCATTTAATCAACATAAAACATTTTGGTATAAACTTGGAGTCTTGTCTTGGCATTCGAAACTCAACCTTGATTATCTTTATTTTCTGTGCCTGAAACTTACGTGAAGTCATACAACGACGTGAAGTTTGTTTCCGTTATTAAAATGTAGAGTAGGGTCGAATCCAGGAAGGACCAAGTTTATATGTATGAAATGGATTAAGGTGAAGAAAATAAATACTTATTTTACTCTGGTTCTAATACTAACCTTTTATTGTATCTATTTTTTAAAATTATAGATGTTAGTTTAAGAGAAATTGCTTATCATTGACTTTTTAGTGGAAGTAAAATAAACTGTAAAAACTATTTATATATGTGGATATCTAATTCAAATGTGTCCTATGAAACATTAATTAATATTTTTTGACTCATTAGATAAGATCATACGATTCAAAGTTCATTGCAACAATATTAATTAGGAGAAAAGCTAACACGGACCTCTACAGCATCAGAGGTGGGATCAAGTGCCATGGAGAATGAGCATCCCCTGCCGACCGTTAACACTCGCCGTGTGCTCTTTGTCATAATCGGGAAATAACGGAATAACCCTCGTCAATTTAGTGGGTGAATAATTGCCTATAAATTAGTATGAAAAAACGCCACTCAGCATTTGACTTACTGATATATTGTATTTGCTGACGAATTCATTATACTGACCATATAACTTACGAAATAATGATTTTAAACTAAATTGTTAATATTCTTGTTGTATCAACTTGTTTGCTAAATTTTTTTCTTTTATTAGAAAATGTTCATGGTTACGTAGTGCTTGCCCTTGCATATCGAGTCAACGTAGAGATAAAAGCCCCACATGCAAGGGATTTAAACAATAAAATGCTTTCTTTAGTTGTTAGTACGGGGATTAATTTTGCAGCTATTGCAGAAAAAATACATAAGCCACGTAAGAAACATTTTATTGTTAATATTTACATATGTTTAAAAATCATTCAAAGTAAAATAAAATCTGTTAAGTATTGATTTTAAGATGAATATTTCATCATATGTAAAAGTGATGAAACAGCCATTGTTCAAGAAAAACTACAAACGTGGCTTGCTCAGTGTTGTTTATGCACTGATAAATGGCAATGGTCTTCATAAGAAATAAAGGCAAAAATATAAGGATATATTGCTATATAGGTAAAGGAAGTTTACGATTGAACAGTTAGTCATCAGATTTTTCATAAAGCTTTGTTGTAGGATTATCATTGGTTTTCTTTAGAAATGTTTTTTCTAGTAAAATATCCAAATATGACAACAGATGCGTAAGACCCTGTTGTATCTTATATTTGAAGCTAACTAGGATATATTCTGTTGACAAATAGACGGTAATAACTGTCAATTGTTAATTTACTGAAACGCATTTGTGTTTTTTTTTGCAAAGTCAACTTTGAAATCGACTTGAAAGTATTTTTTGTACACTTACTTGTAGAAATATACAATGTATAAGGTTAAATCCTCGCTTAAATGGCGTTACAATGAGGCTACAAAGACGTAAATAAAATACAACGGTAATGACCATCAAGAAATTTAAATATTGAGTATCATATATAATTATTATTGGTGTTTAAGATGTGAAATGTGAATATATGGGGTGTTTTTAAGTGTAGTGTGAATTATTGGCGTGTAAAAGTCTTTATACAGCAATAACTCACACAATCTTGAAAACATTCCTTTTTGGAGACCAGGTATTCCAACAATCTATTGGAATTCCCATGGATACCAATTGCACTCCGTTATTAGCAGACTTATTTTTATATCTATATGAAGGAGAGTTTATGCTAAATCTTATGCGTGAAAACACTTGCTGTGGCCTTCAACTCGACATTTAGATTTATCGACGACGTGTTGTCAATAAAAATAGTAATTTCAATTCCTACGTCAATACGATATATCCTGTTGAGCTTGAAATAAAAGAGACCACAGAGTCCGACATTTCTGTTTCATACTTGGGTATTTTACTTGAAAAAGACACTAATGGTAATCTAACAAGCAAGCTATATGACAAACGTGATGACTTTAACTTTTCTATCGTCAGCTACCCTTACTTATGCAGCAATATACCTTCATCACCTGCATACGGAGTATATATATCTCAGTTGATTCGATACGCAAGAGTATGCTCTACTTATGAACAATTTCTAAAACGAGGTAATTATTGACAAGCAAGTTGACGAAACAAGAATATCAGCAGTCTTGTTTAAAGTCATAATTTTGTAAGTTCTATGGTCGATACAATGACCTTGTTAGCAAATACAATTTATCACTGAGTCAAATGCTGACTAACGGTTTTCAAACCAATTTTTAGTCCATTATTTATACACTGAATTGAGAACGGATTGTTTCCGTTTTTCCCTGATTATGACAAGGAGCACATGGCGGGTGTGACCGGTCAGCATGAGGTGCTCACTCCTATATGGCACCTGATCCCACCTCTGATGTTTTGGGGGTCATGAAGGCCTAGGGGCTAGAAAAGTAATTATAAGTCAAGCTCATTTTTAGGCGGTTAGCTAGAAACCGGAAACTTCCATAAGGCGCTACCTAAAGACATCGCTTTATGGCACGTAACCTTATCGTTCTGCAACCCAAACCGGAATCTTCCACAAGGCGCTGCCTATCGACAACAGTTACCTCAGCAAAGCGCTTCCTATGATTTGTATACTGTTGGTGTAATACGCCCCCTGGTGAGAGATTGACAATATGCTGTGTATTTAGAGTGGCTATTATAACGATTATATCGAATTCTTATTAGTATTTACCAAAGCATTGACAATACTTAGAACACTGACTTCAAAGAACTGAGAATTTGGTCCTTATTAGATGTACATCGTGAGATAGCTATTTATAGTAACTGTTAGTTTATTTTTGAGAGTTGAACGATAGGGTTAATTATACAGCAGGTTGAAGGTTATTACAGACTGCAAAAACATCAGCAAATCTCTCGATCGAGTTTGATTTTCCTTGCCAAAGTATTAAGAAACACCATTTATTAAGTTAAGTAATACCTGAACAACGCTTTTTTAAAACACCGAATACATCTGTAAGTTTTACACTTTTTGTAACGTTTTTGAAAACAATAGGATTACCTCCACAATGAAACGTTTGTTGTCTTCTCTTTGTTTCTCTGTCTAATAAACAGATTATAAAAGCTCTGCTCCAAGGGGTAAATTCTCTACTCCGTCTTTAATAATTTATTACAATCGATCACAAGGGATCACTTACTTTTAGTTTTGAAAAAAATAATGGGGCACTTAAAGTAGTAAAATTAATTTTGAAAAAATGGATAAATATATATTAATTTTAATCTGCATTGTGATCCTCTTCTAAAAATCAACCGATATTATTATTCACAGAAGAATGAGGTATGCAAAAATCTTATCAATTAGCAAAAATTTAAAATACTAGTATATACTTAATGCTTATTTATAAGTTTTGAAAATTTGATCAATTCCTAGGGAACGTATTATTACCTGCGAAAATACTTTTTAAATATGAATTTGTCCAATTTGTCGATTATTATTTTGAGCGTTTGAGAAGAATTAAATTAAAATACAGGTGTTTATAGGCACATTGATAGAAAAGGAATCAGTGTATATTGTTTAACCGAAGTTGAAGAAAGTGGCACTGATAACTTCTTAAGTTACACTGACTTTTAGTGTACATTTGAATTTTTAAATACTAGTATTGATTGATTAGACAACTTTCCTTTTCATATGTTTTATTTGAGAACAATATTGCATGAAGAGTATATGTCAAATACATATTATATGTCCTTTTCTAGACATATTGTGCAAGACTTCTTTTAAATGATTCTTATACACCATTTACTTTATTCAAACATTTACTTGTTTGAAAAGTCAATAAAGTACATTTCATAAAGCTTGATAATCTTGTTTACTCGCCAGTCTTCCCGTATAAGTAGTAGTTCATAATATTACTAAACGGAAGTATTCAGTATCTGTATCAAAATACAGAATGATCAATGATCGATTTAAGAAGAAAATCTGACTCCTGAATGTTCAAGACGTGGGATCCGTTGCCTAGAAAAAGTAAGCATCCCTCGTTGATAGGTTTCAACCGCAGTGAGCCTACACATCTGGAGCTCTCTGATATCAATTCATTTACAAAGTCTCTGCTCAGCCATCCTTTTTTCTCTGACTAGCCAGCTGTAGATCTACACTACTCTAAATCCATTAATCTAAAGAATTAAACTTGTCATTTTTAGCTGTTTGCTATAGTAGGCTTTACAATTACCTAATTATAGATTCAATAGATCATGAAAGACAATTAAATTTTCAACATCAACATAATTGTTTTTATCCAGAGAACGATTGGATGCCACCAAGAGAGAAATTTTCAAAATGCACTTCCTGTCTTTCAAATTGAAGAAATTTCATGTTTAAATTTTGAAACATGCATTTCAATCTAATTAAAATTTATTTAAATGTTCCAAATCCCAAATACCGCTTCTCAAACATCTAACATCCCATTCGGAGTCACATCAGAGCGACCTTTCGATTATTTTCGATTATGAGAATACATGTACTAGTCAACAAAACACATTGGCCATGTAAATTCAAGCCTCGGTAAACAATTCTCAAATTAATTCCACGGCTACATATCATCATTATTGATACTGTCTTACGTTGAATTAAAGTAATTTTGGAATAATTTCATGTATAGTCTGCAGTCTGGCATCTGAACGTGAATAATGAAACGAAAGAGCACAAACTATACAAGATACCCCACACGTCATACATAACACAGCTTTTGCAAAGCATATTTTGTTACAAAACTCCTTGGGTGTTTTGGTTCGGTGGTAAAAACAAGAAAGCCAAGATTTCGGAGGAACCATTTTCTTTGGCTAATCGAAGATTCACTCTTACATGACCCCAAATAGGATGTTTTTAGATGTTTGAGAAGCAGTAGCGGATTCGGAAAATCTTATTTTATTTAGATTGCATCCATCTGTGACATCAGTTTGGAATGTTATTGGTTTTACTAATAAGTAAAGTATTACAAAAACAGAATGTCTGTTTTTTTTTTCCTCTGATGACAATGGACAAAGATATGCATACTTAAATATCATCATTTCATGTAATTTTGTCGGTACATATTAGATGAAAGCATGCTAACCGCTTTTCAGTACTTCCAGTACTTTGATTGATCTAAGTCTTACTTTCCTGCCATATAATCCTTTGGTAAAAGTGTGACTGAGAGCAAGAGTGAGCTCGTCTAAATTTTATGGGCTCCAGGCTAGGCCTGCTCTTTCAACAATCTCGATGGAGACTAATTATACTCCTTTGTTTATTACCTGTTTTATATTACTATGAAGCAGAATGGTTTTGTAATAAAAAAAAAAAACACAGAGTCCGCCAAATCTTTTCGGACTAAAGACGAAGGACTAACAAACACTAAAAGTTACAGACTTGATGACTTCAGCTTTTCCATAGTCATCTTTGCCTATTTGTGTAGTAATATTAATATTCCGCTCTCATCTGTATATATTATTTACGTCTCAAAACCTATTGGACACACAAGTATCGAGTATGATATACTGTAAAAGCACAAATATTCGTGGTGGATTAAATTTCGTTTATTTCGTTGTTACTGTAGATCACTTAATTTTCGCGACACCTTATTTTCGCGAGAAAGTCATTGACTCTTTATTAGCGAGACAAAATTTTCACGAATTCTGGTCATTGCTCTATATAATCTTATGGAAATCTATAATACGCGAAAAAGAAATTTTCGCGAGCACTCCGTCTTGCGTAATTACGCGAAATTAAAGTTCTCGCGAATGAAAAGTGATTTACAGTAACAATTATCAACGAAATTAAATCCAACACGAAATTTTAAATGACTATATATTAAATGGGTTACTTTCAAAACAACGAAATTAAATGCCAACGAAACTATTTTTGATGACAAATCAACAAAATTTTATCCCAACGAAAATTTGTGATTCTACAGTTTTTTTAAGCTGATGCAGTTTATTGACAGATAAGTTGATGTTGCAGGGATTCCAACAACCTCTGTTAAAGTTAGCATGCTCGTTATACCGTTATAAAGCTTGTTTACAAATATAATATATCAGTGAGTCGTATCTTGGATGGCATGTTTCATACTAATTGTTAGACCCTTGTTCTCATACTTATTTTTAATACGAAATGTTTCGTCTCCCTGATCAATATATAAGGCTCACAGTGGATATAACATGTCAGCAAGGAATGCTTATTTCTCCTAAGCACCTTATTTTACTTCTGAATTTTCCAGGAATCTGTGTTTTATGCCCTGTTCAAAAATGTGTATTTGTAAATTTTCATTGGATGGATCATTGTTTTTTATTTTCATATTGTCACTTCTCTCCTGCCATTGAAGCAGGTAATAACTTTTGTACTTATCTATATATATTACCTCTGTCGTACACTGGTGAACCCTGATTACACTGATCGTGCCTTATTGACTTAGTGAATGGCTTATATAAGGAACTCAGGTAAAAAACAGGAAAAAGGAATATTTAGGGCAAAGTCCTTTAAGGAATGATGATCAACTTGCATTTATGAAAATTTTAATGCTCTAGTACCCCGGATAAACACATGTATTTAAAACATTAAATGAACAAAAAAATTCAAATTGAAACTTGGAAGTGAAAATATTGTAAAAGTACTTCTTTACGCGTGGTATTAATTTACGCTATGTACGCGGTAACAAATTTTCCGCGGAAAGTTGTCCAGGCGTACTTGAAATAAATGTAAGAATACAGCGACAGACTCAGAAATCCGCTTAATTTTTTACCATTGGATTAAACAGAAATTGAGATTTCGCGGAATTATGACCACGTGGAAAAAAGTACGTCTACAGAGTATATAAAAACTTTATTACTATTTTTTTTTACATCATAGGGATAGTAATTCACATGTTTATTCATTTCGATAAATCTTGCATTTACCATCTTATTTTAAATGCACAAACCTGCAGAATATTGAAAGAAGCTAAAGCTGATAAAAAGGTCACAATTCAAAAACTAATTACCGTAATGAACCCCTAGTATATAACTAAACCCTCAAATAATGCTCAACGTCCCTTTAAAGAAGTCGATGCACTATTTCTGTCAGCCTTTTATTCCCCCCTTACGTTATTGTTAACTATTTTGAATATTTGCCAACATAATACAGTCTCTTCTATGCGCGCTCTGAGCTCTGTATATCCCATTGTACCTAGAAATCATCGTCAACAATAGGCAATCGGAATAAATTGAAATATAAATATTAACTAGATTGAAATTTGCGTTCGTAAATGAGACTAAGAACATGTTTATTTGTGAAGAATATAGATGGTTGAACGCATTTAAGTTTTATAGGTATGTTTAACTAATGACTCTCATAAAAAATTAAGGTAAATTCAGTCCCTATTGACGACAATTACATTCAGCCATTTATAATTCCAATGAATTAAAAAATTATGTGTCATCGTTTTCAAAAATTAATAAAAATAGGTTTGAGAGATATGATGTTTGAAATTCATTAAAAGTTGTAGGTATATATATATATATATATATGTTGTGCACTTCAAATAAAACTGTTTTTGTCCCGTGCATTGGAAAGCCAGTACTGTATATCCTTGCTTGAATATTATACACCGATAGTAATAGAAATGTCATCTGCATTTTTCAAATCTCCTTTGTAATCATTGTAGGAGGTTTTTATCCCTTTTCGTATAAAATTAACAAGCCTTGTTTTTACCAGGCAGACAGAACCATTAATACAGCGTAGAATCAAAATAAATATCAATAAATTTCAAAATGAGGAAAACAAAAATAATTTTGCAAGTTTTTAGTCGACACAATGGAAACGTTCAACATAAAATCCAAATGCTGACTGATATTTTCTAAAGTAATTGTTAGCCCGTATTTACACACTGAATTGTTGATGAAGTTTCTCATTATTTCCCGATCAAAACTAGGAACAAACGCGGGTGTGATCGTTCGGAAGGGATTGCTTACTCCTCCACCTGATCCCCTCTCCTTGGAGGTGGCTGTTTGCTTTAATCTCATAAGTTGGATAAACGATAGATGTATCAGGTTGACAAGGGATTCTCACTCCTCCATGGCACCTGATCCCATTTCTGGTGTTTTCAGAACTCCTTCTTTGCTCTTTTTTCGTTTTGTATTGTTTCAGTTAACTTTTGAGTTGGATTACTTTTCGTATCAAAGTTATTGTAATTTAATTTGAAATATCATAATAATCTTTTCAAGATGCTTTCTCCCTAAAAAATTGACCATGTTCATAATACCAATATCAAAGTTATTGTAATTCGATTTGAAATATCATGATAATCTTTTCAAGGTGCTTTCACTCTAAAAGATTGTATGAAATGGTTTATTGAATTACTTTTATACTTTATAAATATTATACATACTACTTTTATATAGCTTTGTTCATCACGTTTGTGAATGCTAACAACATGGACAAACTGAAATTCAGCACCCAGTGTAAAGAACGACAGTGTTTCCAATGTCAAGGGGACACAGAATTTTACTGCAACACGTGTAAATATGGACCGTGTCTACAGTGTAAAGAGAGACACTTTATAGATCTGGATACCATATACCATGATGTAGTGATCTACCGCGAGAAGTATGAATGCGTCCAATGTCAAGAGATCTGTGCGAAACATCCAGACAGAATTTATACATTTTACTGTAATTTGTGTAAACTTCCTGTCTGTTTTAAATGTAAAAAACACCTTAAACACACATTAACGGACATAGGAACAGCATATATGATTAACCGCTTTAAATACATGGGAATTCTTCATAACATCAGAAGTGATACCCTCTATGTAAACAGTTTTCTCCTTATAGGAATCAAAACTTTTCACATAGAAATCTATAACTGTCAATCAGGAATGTCAAAAAGAGCCCTGAAACTGAATAGCATCATTGACACAGAAGTACAAGATGCTAAAATCAGATGTAGAAATTACCTTCATAGATTCCAAACATTTAAGAGGGAAATGAACTCACATCAAGTCATTATAGAGAAATATCAACATAAGTTTGAACAGTCAGCAAAAAGACCTTTAAGATTTTTATTGCTCCTGAAAAAATTCTGTGTTTCCAAAATAAAGAACACTCCTAAATTTACCCAGCACGTCCTGCCTATACTGACAAAGGAAATCAATTTTGAGGATCTGATTATAACTCTAAGTAGATTCCAAATGATAAAAAGAGCAGAAATCATGGGGACGGGAAAAAGACAAGTGAATAATAAATATCTTCTAAAACAGATGCCTGCACCCGTATTGCAAAGATCCTTCACAGCACAAGTTGTTAACTGTGTAAAACATATAACCATTAAGACACACAAAGAAAATTAGAATAGTGATACTACATGTAACAACCTCAAACTAACAAACATTGTAAGAGACATCCTATGTCAAGTGCCAGATATGAGTACTTATTGGGGAGTTCACACAGTGAACATGACCCGTGATTTTATTCACATAGGCAAGAATCATCACATTGTCAACCTATCACAAGTTAACACATGAAAAACTACAATAGTGAAGAAAACCGAATCTTGAGAACCACAGTGTATTCACTGCTCCGCTTCAAATGGAGATCTTCTGGTCGGAATGTGAAATACTGACATATTTAAGGAGGGGAAGGTCGTACGGTATAGCGAGACTGGTCAACACATACCGACAATACAATACAACAGCGATGGTCAACTTATATACAGTTTTTCTAGATACATCACAAAGAACTGGAATGGAGATATTATTGTGTCTGACTTTCTCCGTCGTGCCGTTGTGGTGGTAGACTACAGAGAAAGACATCGCTTCTTTTACACAGGATCTGAACCAGGATTTATGATATTACCATACGAATTATGTATAGATGCGCTGTCACATATACTTATTCGTGATCAAAACTCTAACATAGTTCAGACGATTGACAAAGATGGCAAATTTCTGTCAGTGTTGCTGACACAAGAAGACGGGATAAACAAACCATGTAGTCTCAGTTATAATGATATTACTCATCTTCGTTGGGTAGGATCAATCAACAACAACTGTGTTTGTGTTTATAGACACATAAGCAGGCCTGAAATTAAGCATATCTGAGTTTTGAATATTTTTCCAAAGCAGTATGATACAAAAGCAATGATTTAAAAATGCAATACAACTTGTGTCAGAGCAAACACAGACCTCTAAATCATCAGAGGTGGGATCAGGTGCCCTAGAGAAGTGAGCGTCCCCTGCCGACCGGTCACATGTGCTCCTCGTCATTATCTGGAAAACCCTCTGAAAAATCCGTTGGCAATTCAGTGTGTAAAAAAGGGCCACACAAATGAGTCTGTGATAAAATGTATTTGCTGACAAGTTCATTTTATCGACCGTATAATTTGCAAAATGAAGACTTTAAACGAGATTACTGATATTCTTGTTTCATCAATTTGTTTGTTAATATTTTACTTTGCTTTAAAAGTTATTCATACGTACACAATGTTTTTGACATATCGAAACAACTGAGATACATAAACCGTGTATCAAGGTGATGATTTAATCAAGTTTTTAGACACCTGACTCTGAACAAAAGGACTTGTTTTGTCGACTCTCCGTGTATTTTAGCTTATTTTTGGAAGTTAAGATACTCTTGTAGTGAATGTCTATTCGACCACTTTTTCTTACGCGTTCTTTGCATTTGTATATTTGCATTTGTGTACATATTTTTTCTTTTTGTTTTTTTTTTTGAATTTGAAGGGTTGATTTAATTTCATGTTTGGAACTTTAACGTGTGAACACTTGATAAAACACCGTGAGTAGTGATCAGTGATTACCGTGTACACTTAATATATCGTATCACTCATGTATTTGTGTTTAACTGTTCATTAGCTTAGCCCCGTCTAGCCTCATATTTTGACTGTTATCTACCCATATGAGAAAAAGTTTTTGCACACATAAAGATTTAAATGGGAATCGTTTTATTTACATTTATCTTAGTGCGCTCCCAGAAGGACAATGTCTTTCTCGCACATGCAGATGTGCTGGTCTGCAGTGCTAAATCTACCATTTAGGACAGTCTTCTAACAAGCGTACTCCACAATGTATGAATTGCTGGAAAGTGTCCAATGATAAACGATATTGCACGAACCAGTCCAAATGCAAAGTGTGCAAAAAGTAGGGTCATTTTTCTGGAGAATAAACTTGTGACCGATACACAGAAGCCTCCCCCAATCTTGTGTCGTTTGAAGGCACTGACAATGCATTGTGTTAAATACAAATCACATGAACACGTCTTCAAAGTTTTTTAAAGCCATTAGACATACTCAGAACCAACGCCATCCAGTCTTCTGCTCTTGATGCATAACGGATTGGTTAGATGAAATCACCATGTGAAAGGATTGAATCCAACAAAGTGGCTCTAATGACCGGAATAACCGAGGCTAAATTCGATCAAGTGTAAGATTTTCCAGAGCTGTTCGAAAAGAAAAAAAGTCGACAATCTTCACTGAAGCTATCTCTGATGAATATTAGGCATCCGGGTTGGACAAAGACGGTACCATCTACACAATTCCCTCAGCATCATCTGGCCAAAATAAGTAAGGAATAAACCTCGGAAACGTCATTTTCTCTCATTCCTTGCAGGTGAGTTCCACACTGTGCTTTTGAAAGAACACATCTCAGCTTGAGATATACTGTGTGGTTTCTGCTGATAGAGATTCGGAAACGCAACACATTTGGATCTCACATAAATTTAGAAAAAATTCTCAACGAGAATTAACATTATATTGTGTGAGAAATTTTGCTTTCTAAAAAGGACTTGAGTGTGAACACTTCTTGGAATACTTATACTTAATTATATATTTATATTTAACGGTGCATAGACACAGATTTGAAGTTTATATTTTCTCACATTTTCTATGTAATATCACATCTCTGATAATGCAATAACATTCCTCACGAATATGTATTTTAAAATCTTATTCCAGATAAATGATATTGAACCTTCAAATTTTTGAATGGATTTGATTAACACATGCTTGCACTTTCTCAATTTTTATTTTATTCTTAATATTTTGAAAAAGTGGCAATCTTGAACATGTGGTGTATTAATGAAAAGAAAAATTAAAATAAAGAAATGATTACTTTAAACGAGACTGCTGATATTCTTGTTCCTTCAACTTGTTTGTCAGTAATTTACCTCATTTACGAAATTTTAAACGATAAAGATGTGCTTAGTGAAGAAGACGATAATGTGTGATTTCTATGAAAATTCTTATACTTCTAAATAAGTGTCGAATGATGATATTAATCTATCTGTAGACAAAGGTAATTTCATGAAACTTTCCTCTTTAAAGATAGAGGTATATGTGATGTTTTCTCCTCATTAACAGAATGTGAGGATACAGTTATAGCTTCAAATTAAATTTTTACCCAGGACTTAAAAAAATTGCAAAAATAATGTCTGTATTTGTATGCTTACCACTCTAAAATGGAATACTAAATCCTTTATTTTGAGTTCCCTGTCCATAAGTCTAGGAACTTGAATCTTTAATTTCTATACTATGCGAAAAGCTTAAATAAAAATAAATAAAGTAATTGCATATGGTATTATATTAGTGATGAGTAAAAATAAGATCAAAACAACTTAAGGCTATCCTTAACTTAACTAATTAATACATTATTAAACAATATAAAATAATTCCCAATGCCCTATTCAGGTTAAATTTTACAATGCCACTTACGGACCACTTCACATTAAATCACTGGCCCTATTAATGCTAATATACATAAAGGCTTGGTCAAAATTGCTCAAACAAGGCAACGTGCAAAAGCCCCATTAAGGCTTATTCAAAAATGTTCAATCAAGGCCTACTTAAAATTTCCCAATCAAGGCTAAGATACAAAAGCGCCATGAAGGCTCATTTAAAAATGCCCCACCAAGGCTAAATTACAAAAGCCACATTAAGGCTAATTAAAAATGATGTCTCACCTAGACTTTATGACAAAAGTCCCATTGAGGCTCAGTCAAAAATGCCATATCGAGGCTCAATTAAAAAGCCCAATTAGGCTATAATAACGCGCTTCATGAAATATGCCTGCGTGAAGCGTCAAAGTTCATGTCCTCATGAATCTTCAAATAAGCTGAAGTTTTGTTAAAATTGTGGTCTATATCTTGACCATCGATGGAGATCATGTTGATCCCGATGATGTCAAATCAAAAAAAAAAAAAAAAAAAAAAAAAACCAAGATGACTACAACAGATGTCGTAGCTGTAAGTCGATTTATGAAATTGGTTTTATATTTGAGCAAGTGTCCTGTATTTTCTTGTTTACATCTGAGAAAACTGACCGCTCATGATAACGTGAATTTAATGGTGCTGAAATCGTGCTAAAAGCATGCGATAGAGCCAAACTTGTGTTTGTATTAGAGCTGTAAAGACGTTCTAAGCGAAAAGAGAACAAGGATTAAGTCTTTTGCGGCATGGACAACCTTTGCAATAGGAGCTGAGGTATAATAATTTGTCGGCAAGGACAGATATTGTAATTGGAAGACCCCTCCCCCCAAAGAATTCAATGCCTACATTCTGTAATTTCTCCTTTATTGATTGTCAAATTTGTTATTCTAT